AGTAGATATGGCAGCATGTATGCTTCAAAATATTGGACCTTTGCGAGCGCAAGAGTCTGACAGGATCCTGCATTATCGCAGCGAGCTGTCACTGAGAAGCAGCTCGAAGGCCCAATCGCAGAAGCGCGGGCACACAATCCATTTCCCTTTCCAGGTCACGACTCGGGAGCACCTCACACCCCGCCATTCCCTTTTGCATCACAAGCCGGAGCCAAGGATCCATAATGGTCATGCAGTTCAGAGTTCCTTTATCGCTCGCTGAAAAAGCAGTAGCGACTACACGTACACAAAGGTTGGTCCAACGTCTGTGGGATCCGGCGAGACGAGCAATGGACAGAACCAAAGGGGCACGCGATCTCGGGTGGATGGTCAGTAGAACGGCGCGCGCATCACACCGGAAACGAGATGGCGTTGCGATGCTGAGAGGTGTGTGTTCGCATCGAGATGACCTCCGACCATCGTCATAGCCACTTCGGTCGATCGCCACGCAAGTTGTAGATGGGTGGAAGTCGAGGTGGGCGATCTCTGAGGGTTGAGCGGCTGATACGGAAATTCTGAATAGCAGCGCGCAGGCTGGAAAGGCGAGAAGATGGTCGGCGCTCTTCGACGGCAGGTGCGATAGGCTCAGCCGGATGCGCTGGAGGCTCGCTTAGGTATACGGAGGGCTCGGTTAGATATATGGAAGGCTCGACCCGATACACGGAAGGCTCGGCTCGATATACGGTAGGCTCGGCAAGGTGTGCAGGAGGCCAGTACAGATGTGCTTGAGGCTCGGCTGGTTGCACCGGAGGCTCGGTGGGGTATCTGGCAGACTCGCGCGACCAGATGGAGCTATGGTGCTTCGTTGGGCTTACGTAGCCCGCAAAGGCAGGAGGCGGTCGGACTGATCCAAAGCCGCTCAGAACGGTATTCTTAGGACTGACGTAGACCTCCGAAGGGTATTGGTAAATGAGTTCAGATTGGCGAGGGCTGGTCAAGTCAAGACGAACCAGTCCAGAGATGGGAGGTATCGTATTCCTTTGGCTATGATCACGATCGATTGGCGATGCTTGGCTGCTCTGAAGCTTCAGCGAACGCAGCGCTCGAGGTCCAATCGTCAGGGACAGCCAGATATGCCTGCAAGAACATTCGTCACGCCAATCAGTCGACGTCTGGGCCATGCGCACGACTCATACTCACACGGCAGCGAACGGATTCGGACCTGGCTTCAAGATCGACCACGCTACTTCTGCTGCGAGGCACAGAATACTGATGAGGTAGTAGAATACGGCAGACTGGAAGTACGTGCGCGTGGTAGGGGCCAGCTGCTCGCAATATTGTTCAAAGCCTTCGGGGGAGAGACCAAAGCAGTGCAAACCTCGCAGCGTCGTGTGCAGCGTGAGGATCAACACAGCTGTGTCGAAGGCCAGAATAACTGCGTTTGGAGCCCAGGCCATCCACGCGATAGTGCGCGCAATCAAGCAGCCGGCTGCGGGCGACGACCCAGGAAGAGGAACCTGAACCACCTTTTGCACTGCTGCCAGGAGTATCTGAGTACCCGCAACGAGCACCACGCCGACCCAGACGAGCGTTCGCGCTGCACCGGAAGGGCTCATAGCCTGCTGGGCACACGAGTTAGTACGTCAGCATGGAGCG